AAAAAGACAATCGTGTCCTCAGCCGCCAGCCCTCTCCACATGCATCTCTGCACCTTTGTATTTTACTTCCGCACCGCACCTCCTCTGAGTCTCAGTATGCTTTTCTCTTTCCTTCTAGTTGTAGAATTTCCACTCAGCCAGCCTTCCTGTGGTTCTGGATGATGTCCGTTCCGTCTTTTAGTTGTATTTTTGAAGTGGCTGTGCGAGGCAGCAATCTCCAGTGTTTACCTGTGCTGCCATATTGGTTTCTCCCCGTTTACATAGAATTTATTCTTAGCCTATGTTTTAAGTCAAACCATGCTAAAGTCACTTCAGATTTTAGGAAAACTCATCCAGTAATTTTTAAAAATATATTTTATTGATTTTTTTACAGAGAGGAAGGGAGAGGGGATAGAGAGTTAGAAACATCGATGAGAGAGAAACATCGATCAGCTGCCTCTTGCACACCCCCTATTAGGGATGTGCCCACAACCAAGGTACATGCCCCTGGCCAGAATCGAACCTGGGACCCTTCAGTCTGCAGGCCGATGCTCTATCCACTGAGCCAAACTGGTTAGGGCAGTATTTTTTTTTTAATTTTCACCTGAGGATATGTTTGTAGAAAGGAAGGTAGGTGGGGGGAAGAGAGAGAAGGTGAGGGGGCGGGGGAGGGGGAGAGAGAGAGAGACAGACAGACAGACAGACATTAATGTGAGAGAGAAATACCAATCGGTTGCCTCCTGCATGTACTCTGATTGGGGATGAACCTGCAACCTTTTGGTGTATGGGAAAATGCCCCAACGAACTGAGACACCCGGCCAGGGCCAGTAACTTCTGGGAGGAGTGGCAACAATAAGAAAAAAACTTACATTTTGCCTGGCCGGTGTGGCTCCGCTGGTTGAGCCTTGTCCCATGCACCAAGAGGTCACAGGTTCTGTTCCAGGTTCATGCCCTGGTTGTGGGCTGGATCCCCAGTAGGGGGCATGCAAAGGCAGCCAATCGATGTTTCTCTCTCATCAATGTTTCTCTTCTTTTCCATTCCTCGCCCTTCCTCTCTCTCTAAAATCAATAGCCCAATATGTACTACTATTTGTAATACTTTAAACAATTAAATTAAATTAATAAAATAAAATAAAATCAATAGCCTTACCAGGTTTGGCTCAGTGGCTAGAGCGTCGGCCTGGGGACCGAAGGGTCCAGGGTTCAATTCGGGTCAAGGGCATCTACCTCAGTTGCAGGCTCCTCCCCAGCAAGGGCCCCTGCAGGAGGCAACCAATCGATGTGTTTCGCTCACATCCATGTTTCTCTCTGTCTTTCCCTCTCTCTTCCACTCTCTCTGAAAATCAATGGAAAAATATCTTTGGGTGAGGATTTAAAAAAAAGACAGAGATAGAATGAGAAGAGAATGACTTTCTCACACAGAGTCAATGTTAATCTTGTGTCTTTGTATGACTTCATGTTACATGTCTTAGAAAAATTCTGCAGAATAGTCACATCCCCATACTGTCTGTGAGGAATCTGAGATTAACCACAGATGTGACACAGAAATGGAGAAGTTCAATTCAAATTCGGGTCTGCACAGTCCCAAAGACAGTACATTCCCACTGAGCCAGGCTGGGAACTTTAAAAGGTCAGGATTTGCACTGGACAGTGCGGCTCAGTTGGTTGGAGTGTTCTCCAACGCACCAAAAGGTCTCCAGTTCAATTTCTGGTCGGGCCACATACCCAAGTTCCGGGTTTGATCTGCGGTCGGGATGCATGCTGGAGGCAACCAGCTGATGTTTCTCTCTCTCAAATCAATAAACATATAAAAATGCCAAAAGAATAAGAATAAAAGGTGATAACTTGGGGTGGAAATATTTGGAGGGTGAGTGAAGGAAGCCATGGCTGGGAAAACCTAGGGCAGGGAAGTGACAGTGGATCCGATGAGCTCAGTAGGTGTTGGCAAGCCTTTCATGTAGAGGCCCGAATGGCAGAGGCTCTGGGCCAGGAGGGCTCTGTCGCAACTGCTCACCACCTGGTACAAATGGCCATCGTCAAGATGAGATCAGTGTTGGGAAGAGATGTGAAGAAAAGGGAACTGTTGGTGGAAATGTAAACTAGTGCGGCCACTGTGGAAGTTCCTCCAAAAATTAAAAATAGGATTACCACATGACCCAGCAATTTAGCTTCTGGGTGTGTGTGTGTGTGTGTGTGTGTGTGTGTGTGTGTGTATATATATGTATATATATATATATATATATATGATCTGAAGGACCTGAAAACACGACCTCACAGAGATATCTGCACCCGTATGTTTATTGCAGCATTATTTACAATAGTGAAAACTTAAAAAAACAACCTTAAGTGTCCATCAATATATGAATGGCTAAAGGAGTGAGATCTGTCGTCTGTCTTTCTGTCTATCCATCTATCTGCCATGTAGCTAGATAATGTAATACTGTTCAGCCATGAGAAAGAAGGAAATTCTGCCATTTGCAACCATGTGGATGGACCTTGGTGGTATTATGCTAAGTGAGACAAGTCAGACTGAGAGAACAAATACTGCATGTTCTCATTCATATGTGGAATCTAAAAATGCCAAACTCATAGAAACAAAGAGAGGAATGGTGGTTACCAGGGGCTGGGTATGTGTGTGGGAGAAATGGAAGATGTTGGTCAAAGGGTACAAACTTCCAGCTGTAAGATGAGTAAGTTCTGGGGTCTT